ATTGATAGATAGATAGATAGATAGATAGATAGATAGATAGATAGAGTTACATAGAATTGGCCTTACTCATCAGTATCTACACTCAAAAATACTTCCTTGCCCTTCTTCGGCCCTGGTGTCAGCAGACCCCAAGTCTCAGAGAAGGAAGGGCAAGAGTCAGAATTCAACCTTTTTCATGTCTACAAACCTGGAATGTGTACATTATTGCCAGGCACTCTAATATCTGCAGGGCCTTGTCAGATAAGGCTTATGCCCAGACTATAAAGACATCCATCCATCCATCCATCCATTAATCGGTTGATCAGTTGATCAGTTCATCAGATCACCATCTTGCCTGGGAGAACTGTAAGGGAAAAGACCAGAGAAGGCTTCCTGGAAGAGGAGGGCATTCTGTCCTTAAAAAATAGGTGGATGCTGATTGTATAGAGCATAACTGCACCCAGCAGACAAACCTTAGGGAACCTTCCAGATGCCCAAATGTGGGAACTCCAGACTGTGGGGTTTGTGTTCACAGACTACACAAGCCTAGACTGTATCTCCCCTGGCCCACACAGGCCATCCCAGTCATCCAGGCTGTTCTCAGCGAGCCCCTGGGGACAGGAAGAAGGCCGTGGCTTTTCATCTCCCAGGCAGCTGGCATGCCATCTCCCTCCTGCAGAACCAGGCTCCTGCTCTGGGACAGGATCAGAGGAACCCCCAGGGGGCCTGCTGGGCCCTTCAGCCCTTTGATCCTTCCTTTTATCTTCCCTCTTCTTGCTCAGCAGTTGGCCCTGCTTCCTGGCCAGATCCAGGTTCCAGCAAGAACCCTCAGTCTAGTCCTGGCCTCAGGGAGAACAGAGGTCAGGAGTAGGACTCTGGAGAATCACCCTATCGTTCCTCAGCCACCCCATCCATGTGGTGGGCATGGCAGGTCTGCCCAGCCCACCCACCTGTTGGGCACATCGCAAGAACAGAGTGAAGTGAGGGGTGGGACAGCAATCAGGCTGAGCAGAAAGAGGCCACCAGGTGTCTTGGCAGGACCTGAATTTGGAGCCAGAGCCCTGGCTTCCAGCCCAGGCGAGTCCCTCGCCAGGCACAGAGCTCTGGGCAAGCAACTTCACAGAGCTTCCCTCTCCAAAAGAGTAGGGGGGTGCCCTGGCCTGCCCTGGCCTGCCCACCTCCCTGCTGGCAGGGACACCAAACGAGATGATGACTGTAAAAGTGCTCGGAAAGAAGGGAGCGGCAGGTGGAGTCTGGGATTATCGCTATTGTTCAGCATGATTACCACAATCCAGAAAAGCCGCCATTAGCGACAAGGCTCCTATTTGTGTTGATTTAATTTCCTGGTTAACTGAGCGTTGGCAAGGAAAAAAACCCGTTTCCACCCTTATTGGAAATCTTTTTAAATCATGCCAGTCTGCTTTCTTACACTGGTCATGGTGTACTCTCGAGTCGTCATTTATCTATGGACTGATTGATTCATATGTTCATTTATTGCTCTTGCTTTGACTATAACCAAAAAAGCAGCTACAGACTCAGCTTCCCTCTGCTGGGGGCCCCTGTTCAAGGAAACCAAAGGGGACAGGCCTGGAGAGCAAGCACAAGGGATCCTGCCACTCAGCATCTCCCAAGGTTCCTGCGGTGTCTTGATGGGACCTTAGAAAGACACAAGAGAAAAATGACTTAAGAAATGCCTTCTGGTTGGGATAGAAGGGTTAACCAGGTTTATCCAGGTGCCTCTGTGAAGGAACATGATTGGTTTGCGTTGGTTGGCTGGTTGGTTGATTTGAAATATGGTCTTGCATAGCCCAGGCTGTCCTTGAATTTGCTATATAGCCAAGGATGACCTTGAACTTCTGATCCTCCTGCTTCTACCTCCCCAGTACTAGCCTTACAGGTGTGTGCCCACCCCACCTGACTTGACATGATTGTTTTTAACAAGTTTGTTAGGCCCGATATGATCAAACAGCTTCTCCTTCTTGGTGGGGGGCTGGGAGGGAACCTCCAAAGGTCAAGTTCATTGCAACAACACTGCTGCCCCACAGAAATCTTATGGTGCGTCACTAGCAAAACTATCGTGGTAGAAAGGGGTGGATGTGTACAGACTGAATCTGGTGGGAAGAGGCTGACCATTTAAATAGAACCATTTAGAAACAAGCATCCCCATTTGGGTCAGGGGTTCCTTCCATTCCTGAGCTGTAAAGGGGATTTGGAAGAGCTGGTTTCTGAGCTCCTGGGTGACAGCTGTCCTCTGGCTGAGCCACAGTGGGAAGGGCAGGGGGCGTTTATATAAGAGAAGGTCTTAGGCAGGTAGAGGCTGGAGAAGCTGGGTCGGAAGCCCTGGGAACGCCTTCCCTCTTGGCTACCAGTATCAGTGACCTCACAGGTCTTGACCAGGATGTGCGTGCTTTAAACAGAAAGCAGCAAGAGTGAGGGAGGATGAGGGATGAGGGGAGCGGCTGCTGGCGTGGGGTCTGGGCGGTGGGTAGGAGGTACAGTTCCACTTCATGATTGAGCTCTTGGCTTCATGCTTATCAGTCACTGTGTAGAGCTCTGTGTGGTTCTCAACAGGGGTGATATCCCCCAAGGACCCTGGGCAATGTCAGCATCCTTTCCGTGGTGTGCCAGTGGAGAGGGGAGCTTAACGGCAATGGAGGCCAGCCGGGGAAGGTGCCGGATCACACTGTGCACAGCGCGGTCCGATACATAGTCAGCTGGTTCTGAGTGAAGTGCCAATGCCCAGCAGGTGGTGTGGGGTGGTGCACACCTGCAGCTGCCCTCATGATGCCCGTGTCTGCTCTCCCCACAGAACCCCGACATCGTCCTGGTGCATTACCTGAACGTGCCGGCCATCGAGGACTGCGGCAAGCCTTGCGGGCCCATCCTCTGCTCCATCAACACCGACAAGAAGGAGTGGGCAAAATGGACGAAGGAGGAGCTCATCGGGCAGCTGAAACCCATGTGTGAGTACCTCCCCGTGCCCCTGCTGGCACCACCCAGTAGGCCTTTGAGGACTTGGAACGCAGTCCGTTTTCACACAGACCACAGTGGCACTGTGAATTTAGCTTTAATGGTGCTACCTCTCAGCTCCACATTCAGTCGACCTTCACAAGCTTCCTCCGCAGCTATCAAGGCACAAATTCTCAGACCCAAGAGACAGCTTGAGTAAAGCACTTGCCTTTGGACCCCCAGCATCCATGTAAAAAGCCAGGCACAGTGAAGATGGTGAGATGGTAGGCAGAGGCAGGTGGGTCTCTGGAAGCTCTCAGGACAGTTAGCCTAACCTACTTGGAAAGTTCCAGGCCAAATAAGAGTCTGTCTCAAACAAAAAGGTAGACAGTGCCTGAGGACCGACATCCCAAGTGGTCCTCTGACCTCCACATGTAGGTATTATCCCCCCAAACACACTACACACACACTCACACCTCACCCGTAGGACAGATTGAGGAAGGTAAGACAGGAACTGTGATAAGACTGTGTCTCCCAGGCCACGCACAGGGCAGGGTGGCCAACCACAGAGGAGGAACAGGTCAGGGAACGAGGAGCGGCTGGTAGAGCTTCTGCTTCTGCTCTTGGCCACACACACTGGCTCTGGGCTCAGTGGCAGCCTGTTGGCCCCGGGCTGCCGCAGTGCCTAGCCTGGGTGGCAAGCAGCTTTTGATAATTGAGTCAATTTCATTTTAGCAGCAAAGCATTCTGCAAGCATCTGTCAGGTGCAGGTCACTGATACAGGTGACTGAGGGGCCGAGAAGCTGGGGCTCCATACATCTTTGCTTCCGTGGGTGCCAGGCTCTTGGTAGCCTCTCCTGCCCATTTTAGCTGGGCTCAGCCAGACTGAGAAAAACATGGGTCCACCCAGTGCTAGGCAGGGGACCACAGGATGTGGGGACATTGATCGCCCACACTCAAGACAGAGACATGTCACCATGAAGTCTTGGAAGAGTGAGTTGGTGGGTCACCTGGGAACAGGATTGCCCTGAGATGACCAGCAGAAGGTACAGCTGCCTGGCACCACAACAGGGGAGCCCTTGTCTACGGGCTCCAAGGAGGGGGTGGGGCAGCTGCCACAACCCATTCTCCTGAAACTCCCTTCATTCCCAGATTCCTGCGTGGCCTCAGGACTAGAAGGAGGATGACAAGGGGCAAAACTTTCTGTCTTGGAGGGAGACCCAAAAAGTCCACCCAGGGACTGGGCATCAGGGCAGAGCATCCCCCTGGGTCGTCCTCCTGAGCTCGGCCATCCTGTCTTTGATGCTGCAGGTGACCCAGGGGCCTGTAGAGCTCAGGCTCCACCCTCCACTGCAGCTCCAGCTGTGTCTTTTCCTTAAAGTCCCCAGTGCAAGTGCTGCTATCCATGATGGGCAGCGCCTCCACCTCAGGCCCCCACCATGGACCTCTGCACTCCTCCTGAGACCCTTGGGCATTTTGACTTTCTGTTCACCCCCGCCTTAGCTCCCAGGACTCAGCCTGCATGTTCCCTTCCCATAGGCCCAGCTCACACCCTGAGGCCCCCAGGTCTCCTCAAGGCCCCAACCCCAGGGAGCATCAAACAAAAATCAACCTACCACTATTAACAAGAGGGGCTCACACAGCCTCTCCCTAATTCTGCAGAGCGAGGGAGTGTAAGAAGCCCCGGACACAGCAGGTGCCCAGAAATACCATGGGTTATAAACAGATAGCAACTGTAGCAACTTTAATCCAGTGTCCACAGGGCCCTGAACAACAGACCACGGCCTCCATCTCAGACCAGTAGGCCTGGAGCTACGGGGCCCTGCTTCCAGACAGGCCCCCACTTCTGATTCATCACCCAGGGGGCCTCAAGAGGTACCCAAAAGCAGAGGCATGAGTCCTGCCAAATCCCATGTGGGGCCCTCGAGCCCATTCGCACTTTCCCCTAGACAAAGCCTGGGACAGGGACTCCACCCAAGGTGCCCTGATACCACCTGGACAGGCAGTAGAAAGAGCCAGAGCTGGGGGTCAGGAAGTGGATCCTTGTCCTGGTTCTGTGGCCCCTGAAACTGGAATTTGCTTCATGCTTCCTGTCATTCACAGAGACCAATGAGCAGAGACTGGAATCAAACCTTAAAAGTTGTTTATTCAGACTGCCAACAATGAGAAGCCAGTGGATTAACTTCCTAAAAATCTGTCTCTGTCCCATCTCCAGGCAGCAGATAATATAGCGTTATAAGGTCAAAAGCAGTCAATCATTGATTACAGACCTCAGTCTCTTCCCCTCTGGTCAGGTGGTCACCTGTATTTTTGAGATTTGTGATGTCTGTGCCACTCTCCTTGGTACTTAGTCATCACTTCCAAAATAAAGGACCTAAGGAGGACCCTTGACTTGAAAGGGTGGTGAGAGTCTGCATGCTTCTGCCACTGGTCCACAACCTTAGTATCCTCTGTCTGAGGGGGTCCCTGCTCCAAAATGTCTCCAGGTAGGAGGAAGACGTTGCTTCCTGCCTCTCTGGAACTGTCTTTTTTCCTCTGGGCTCTCTGGAAGGAGCTCTTTCTGCTACATTAGAGCCTGTTTGCAGGTGAAAGGCCCCAACCACAGTTGGCTGAGTTCTGGCAGAAGTATCAGAGACTGTGTGAGCCAGAGACATACCTGAGACGTGCTTCTGGGGTGAAACATACCCCTGTACTCAGAGTCTCTGCCTGGGGCCCCCTGAGCATCTCTCAACTTAGACAGCTTCCCCCTGAAGCCAGCTTTGCCATGTTCCCTGATATCTGTCAAAAGTGTGCTACCTCTAAGCCAGGCAGGAGGCTCTGGCTCCTGAACTCCAGGGGGCAAAAAACAGGCCAGATTGGCTTCTGAGGTTTAATTGGAAGGAACTGTGAATACCTATTCACAGCCTGTAGTGCATCAAGGAAATTATATAAAGCCACAACAAGCTCCCCGTAAACAGTCTCAGGGACAAGTGGGGGCCAAGCAGGAACATCAGTCAGCAAATCATGCATGCCTGTCCCGGGGTCCACCACACAGACAGGCCCTGCCTAGAAACCACCACCCAGAAATTCAGCCCCAGTCGGTGCCTCACTGCACTCCAACTCAGAAAGCACGTGGGGCACCAGCCAACCTTGTACAGAGAAAGCAAGGCATTCTGAGAGCCAAGAAGCCATGATGGTTCCAAAATGAGGCATGCCATCGGTGCTGGAGCCAAACACATTAGCTTCATCACAGCGTCACATAAATCACATTCCTTCAAAGGCTTCCCAGTTTGATGTCCTGATGTGTCCCAACCTCTCTGCCCGGCATCAGAGTTGTCAGTGACTTAATCAGAGCTCGATACTGGTCAGTAGTACAAGACCTCCATCTTCAACAGGCAGTCCCAAGAGGGAGGGCATGGGGCCTCTTACTCCCCGAACTTAGGACTCTCACAAATGCTGCTTTCTGGGCCAAATGACCCCTGAGATCCCCATCCTGAGTCTTTGGAAGAAAGGATTTCCCTTCACCTGAAGTCTGAGCACTGCCTCCTGGGAGCGCAGAGTAAACACAGAAGAAAAATTAAGACGCCTGACAGAATTCCCAACGGGTTTCCAAAGAGCTTTCCTGTCTTTTGTAATCCCTTCTGGCCAAATCACAATGGCTTAAATCAAACAGAAGCACATTTCTCTTTGACTTCTGGATAGTTCGCAGTCCCCAGTATTAGAAGTCAGCCACCGAGGCCCCTTCCATTTGGTAGCTCTGCTGGTTTTTTTAGGGTGTGACCCTCTCTTAAGGGTTCAAGGTGGCTCCTCCAGCTCCTGCTATCACAACTGCATTCTAATCAATGAGAGAAGAAGAAAATGGAAAGCAACCTTCTACCCTTGAAGGGTAGAGCCCCCAGGTTACAGACCTCAATCCCATGCATGTGTTACTGGGCAAAATTTTGTCTTACAATCACCCCTGTGGGGAAGGGAATCTGGAGCAGTGTGGTGTTTCGCTAAGCAGGCTTGGAAGGCTGAGGTTCTGCGTGTGAATTGTGCAGGGCTGATTAGATCAGTGTTTGGCCTGGAGTGCCCGGTGGGCTTCAGCTGGCTGGCTGATAGTGTACAGAGCTCCTCTTCTCAGGCCAAGATCTGGGGGTGATTGTCTGGGGGCCTGTCTAAAGGAAGGAATGAACAGAAGCCGTCTGCACACAGTGTGTCCCATCCTGGAAGTTCTGAGCCCTGGCTTTGCTCTGGGAGAGTTTTTCTAGTGTGAACAAGGAGGGAGCTGGTTACAGGGGAGAGGGCTCCCTCCTCCCAGGCCAGCTGTAGAGTGATGTTTCGGAATGGAGGGCTGATCTGAAGGCTGAACTCTGGGTCTTGTTCTTTGCAGCTTGGTGGGAAATTTGCTCAGTGGTTCCACGCTACCACAGCCCAAATCTTGTACCCACAGCTTCTGTGACCCCCATGGGGAGCCAGATGGAACCAGTTCCCATAGGATGCCCAATGGCTTTCTGCCCTGCCCCACTTCCTGGCTCCCTATCAGGGGAGGGCATTGCCAGCCTCTTCCCAGCTACAGTCTGCGGAACTGTTGCAGCCAGAGTGAAAGACAAGAATTTTTAAGCTGTGTTCCCAGCCCTTCCACAAGCACTGATCATACCCAGATGTCCCCACCTGGGGGCTCCTCCTGGAGCACTCCGGCAGGCCAGATGGCCTTTGCAAGAGAAAGTGAGTCCTGAAAGCCCACCCCAGAGAGCATCAGACAGCCCTAGCCACCAGCCAACCCAGCCTTGGTTCTGCCCAGCTGTCTTCCTGGAACTCCACTGTGTGACTCCAGGTTCATAGGTGCTTATAGTGGGTGTCCAGCAGGATGCATAAAGAGGGCCAAATAGGAAAGTTTCCTGGGGAGCCAGCCCGGTCCTGGGTCAGCAGCCACCCCTCACCCCCACCGCACCTATACTTCCCACAATGCCATGTACATGTGCGTGTACATACACAGGCACCCATGTGCACACAGCAGCCTCACCACCTTGGATATACGTAGATGTGGACATGA